CATATATATATATATATGTAACAAAAAATCTACTACATCGAAGGCGAAATCCATTCAAAGTCACGAAAATTCTGTTACGCTCATCAAATGGTCGCTCGGATTGAATCTAACAAAAAAGCGTAGCCGAAATACGAATGCAAATTAGATGCAAAATAAATGGGTAAAATGAGGTCAAGTAAATACGATGTAAGTATTACAGTTAGACTCTCTATATCTATATTATCATATAATTGACATATTTTCATATCACTTTTATATGTAGAATCTATTTCTTAATATATTTTCAATTTAGAGTTTTGTGTAAGCTTCGAGAATGAGGCTTTAACTATTGGGGTTGCATAAACATATTGGTTTAACACCAGATTTTCCTGGCTGCAGACTGTACTCAGTGTGCACTGTTTATCTATTCTACTTAATAACTTTCTTCTCAATTCGTAATATTTGTAGAAGAAATCAATTAAATGGTTTTGGTTCAAGTAGTCAAGAAGAAAAATAAACTTCACTTGTTTTTCCTATGGAAATTTATTTCAGAGCTTATACAAATAATTTGTTGTAATCTGATAATATAAATCAAATATCATCTACTATATCTTTATATACATATACCCACAAAATATTTCAAGGTATTTATTTATAAATATAATACTATCGATTAAAARCCTGAAAAACTCAGTTTTAATTTATATCCTCATGCACCTTGAAAACTTCAATTTCTATACTTTGCATATAGATTTCGCAATATTTTATATCTTATCACATTTATAAATATTATCAAGTCTTTAGCTCTTATATGCTCTGAGATAGACGCGTTCAAACATATGGAGAGGCGGAAAGACGGACTGACTGGAGTAAATCGATTCAGTCCATCACAGACACATATTGACGAATTCATTATACCATCTCACTAGGCTTCAAGTCGAAATAAGAATCGGATTACTTAAAGTTACGTTGCTCACATTTAGATATGTAATGCTTGTTTCAAACTAAGATTTCTTTAAATTGACTACAAATAATATCTAAAATCGACTTCACGCTGGCTTCGCGAGTGTTGTGTAATCCAAGCCAAAGAGCTTATATGCCTATATTCTCTATGGAGTAAATGAATAAATAAATTTGTATATAATATACATACATATTATATATATTACTTTATTTCTCAGTTAAGGCATCACTTTGAATTGCCAATAATAAATGGAGTGCATTTCAAGTTGTTAACCAATCTCTCTCAGTGGTTCACTTGAAGGCTATACACATCTAGGGGCATGACATTGATAGACTGCGATCTCTCTCCTCCTCCGCTCCCTCGCCCGCTGCCAGCCAAAAATTTACATAATCACTTAACTCATGGCCCACATTTTCAGAGATAATCTGAGGCAAAGAGGAGAAACCGTCAAGTGCACATAAATTAAAACAAAGATCGAAAAGTGCAGGCCTCTAGCTAAGGGGCATTCCGTGCCACGTCGAATGGTCTGCGTTGCCCTTAATCTTGAATTACAAATCGAGTGCAATTATCTGGCGACTGCAATGAGTTTCCTGTGCCTCCGCGGTGCCTCCGCTGGGGCTCGCAATTTGTTTTCACACTTTACGATTTGCATGGCCCGCAGCCAGCCGGGGCAATCAATGTATTTCGATAAGCGCCAGTTCTAGGCCCTGGCCACAGCTGGGCAACAGCCCACGGGGCTGCGTTGCATGCTGGCAATCGTTTATCTGCGAGTAGACGAGCTAATTCGTGCTGAGCTGCTGCTGGATTCGGACCTCGACTCCAACTCCGACGCCGTCTCCGTCTCTGAATCCGACTCCTACTCAGGTATCGGAGCTACTGTGCACCTTTAAATTTAACATTTAATTGATTTGTCAACACAAAATGTCTGTCGCAGTTTCCCGGCTGGCTGCTAAGCGGCTTAACAGACACGAAACTCCTCAAGCCGCTTACGTTTCGGGTCTAAATACACGAGTTATGCTGCATAAATTGTCGACTTTAGTTGGAAAACGAAAGTGGATGGAGTACGTGCCCAAAGGAAGTGTTCTCTGCTGCCGCCGCTGCTGCTGTGGTGCTACATCGAAAGCCAGCTGACAACGACGAGTGCCACAATCATCAATCACAGCGCCTGCTGTCCCGCTGATGTGGCATGCCACTAGATTGCTGCCCCACCAGCAGCACCAGCAGGAGTAGCAGCAACAGCCACTGCATCAACTCAATCAGCTAAGTTGCAAGCTCATTGCCGGCCGGCCTAGGCCCTGCCGTGGGCGATCCCATCCCGATCCGATCCATGCATCAGTCCAGGCTCTTACGGAGGTCCAGCCCCACTCCGAGTGCCTACGGGATTGTGTGTGTGTGGGCGCCAGCTTGTGTGAACGTGCATTGATTGCAGAGCTTTGCATTAGGCATTGTGCGTTTGCAGAAGCAGCCCGCACAGTGACAGAACATCAACAATTTCTAACTCAAATTTATCTTGCGAATATTCAGTATTCGAGTTAATTAGAGACGGTATAACATTTCCAACGGTATTTGATGCACTTGCGAAAAGTTCAAAATTGCAAATATACCAAGATGCTATTAATAACTGTCTAAGGCAAATAAAAAATCTATTTGTTTTATATAATTATTAACAAAACGTGGTATATATTAAGTTTTTTTCAATATTAATAAGACAAAAATACATATATTTATTTGTTAACTGTTGAATAATTTGATAGATTCAATTATTCAACTAATTCCATCCATCAAAATGTTCATTTCTTCCATACTTTGCAAAATCAAACCGTTTGGTCGAATGCGTTTGAATTATTGAATATTTAGTAAAAATATGAGTACATTCGCTATACATAACTGCACATAATATGTTACATTAGTACATTGTTTATAATATGATGACAATTTCTTTTTATTATAATTATAAGTCAAAGTTTTTGTTTATTATTGTATCTCACCTATAAACAATATTTTTTTTTATTTTTCAATATTTTAAGACTTGAATGATCCTTAATT